GAGAGTGTATCGTTTTGAAATTGCGGTGTTTTTACGACAAATAAAAACAGGGAAAAATAGTTTGAAGGAGAGGTATGCAAATATTATATATATATATATATATATATATACATATATATATATATACATATATATATATACAATAGGGTGGTCCTTAATATGGATATTTTCAAATTTCTTTGCTCCCAAGGGCTCAAATGCTTCCAAATTAATAAAAAAATCCTCCAAATGTTTTAGCTCTCAATATTGTCTTTTAGGTAGAGCGCTATTCAATGTTTTGTATGGAAATAGCATGAAAAATTTTTCAAAAATTTAAAAAATGTATTTTAAATATAATTTAGCGAACAAATGAATGAGTTTTTTGTTCAAAATTCGACGCTCTACAAAACAACTTATAAAAAACCTGTTTTGCAGAGTGTCTAATTTCCAATAAAAAATGACACAAATTTTCAACTTCAATTCATTTGTCGCTAAGTTATATCTAAAAAAAATTATTTTAAATTTTCAAAATATTTTTCATGCTATTTCCATACGAAGTTTGATTGAATTGCGCACTATCTAAATGTTAATATTAAGAGCTAAAACTTTCAGAGAAGTGTTTTTTATCTATTTGGAACCATTTGAGCCCCTGGGAGCAAGGAAATTCGAAAATGTCCATATTAAGGACCACCCTAATATATATACAGGGTGTTCCAGAATTCAACGTCAAGCCGAAACAGAGAGACAGTATCAATGAAAAAAATGAGAAAATAAATTTATCAGATGCAGTTGAGAAAATCAGAAGCTTTAAAGCTCAACCTAAAGAGCTTTGGTAAATTTATCAACTTTTTTCGGTTATTGTAGTTAATTTTTACTAATTTTGCTCATTCAAAGTTTCGAAACGTAACCGTAAATAACATTTCTATGATCACAGTAAAAATTATTAACAAAAATGTCTTCAGTTTTCTAAAATTATGACTATTTGTTTAACTATGAATAAATTTAAAATTTGTCAAATTTGAGAAAAAAAGTATGAAGTCTTTGAAGAGAAAAAAAGTAGGAAGTCTTTGAGAAGAAAAAAGTATTAAAAAGTGCTAGAAAGTTCCATTAATATTTAGGGCAATTAATCAGAAATGTAAAATGATACAATACTTATACTAAAAAAACTAGTAAGTATTTAACTAAATTCAATTTAATATTAGAATATATTTTTATTAAATATCAGCAGAGTTTCTTAAATGTTCATAAAAACACGAAGTTAATGATGAATCATAGTATTTTTTTTTTGAACATGTCGTTAAAGAATACTAAAATTAATTAATTAAACTTCACATATTTAGAATTGTTTATAATTTGTTACAATGTTTAATTGTAACTTACGTGAAACAAATGTCATAACATTTAATAATCGATAATAATATATAGAAGAAATAAACAATTACTCCAGAAAAACTCGAAAACTTCATATAGCTATTGTTATTATAATAAAATTGATGTATTGTATATATAATTCAGTTTGATTTAATATTCAAAATTCAATATCAAAAATACTTCAACAAAAAAAATTTAAATTTTGTTCACAATAATTTTTATAAATATACAAATTTTGATTTAATTTAATATAATATAAGGAGGTTTAATTATATATAATATAAGAATGATGAAGAGCGACATCTTCCAATTAGATTTGTATATCAAAATTAAAATAGTAAATTAAAGAAAAACAATTTAAACTGATTTTGGATTTGAAAATCTTGTAAACAAAACAAACTTTAAATAATTTAGGCTATTCCTCAAAATTGAGTAAATATGATTGTATTTTATTAGGCAACTGATTAAAATTGAATAATGAAAAAAAAAAAGTATCTTATTCAATTTTGTGGTTAATTTGTGATTTTGTTTGTTGATCTTTTATTTTAATGATTTTACGAGAAGAAAATTGACCTCATTTGAAAGTTTTATCATTATTGCAGTAGAGTCTTCAATAAAATACAACATTTATTAGGCAAATATTTGCATACATCATCATCTTTTATTACTTGTCAGTAATTCCAAGGTATTGAACCGTGTTCAATGCTCTCATAATGATCTCATTGAATTTATGAGCTGCCAATATATAATTTTCATCGTATGTTTTCAACTTAATCAAAAGCCATGACTAATAACAAGAATTATATGCCAACTTGGTACGACAACTAATCTTTAAGAAAATTACAAGGCGTTCTACATATAGAACATTTCCTAGAATGGCATCTGTAATTTAACTTGGAAATGAAAGTCATGGAAGAAAATTTGAATGGATGAATTGGTAGTAAATGTAAAATAAACATCAAAAATATTTAGGACGACCATTGGGTTGCCTCTAAAAATCTATTAAGGAAAAGTAAAATCACAAAATGTATAAACTATTTCGACAGAAGAAAAAAAATCAATTATGATCTGCAAAATATTTTTAAATTTTCTATCAAAATATTTTACTCAAGGTAATTTATTTTATCTCGAGTAGTTTTACATCGATAGTAATATTTATTTGATCAGAACTATGAATTTCAAAAACATTCGCCACATCCATTCCAAACAATTAAATTTATTGCAAACGTCGCAAAAATTTACGATGGATATGAAATAAAATGGCATTTTGAAAATATTATGCCCTGTTAAAAATTTATTGCTTTTGATGTAATGATCGAATAAATGGTTGTAAAACATATATATATATATATATATATATATATATATATATATCTTATATATAAAATTCTTCTATAATGGGGTATGAAAGATTAATCCTCCTAAAACCCAAGATTATTCGGATTTTCATAAATCCTTCTGAAGTTTGTTAAGGGAATTTTTCAGGTTTCTTTGATTTTTAGAAATATAGTTAGATTGTAAAAATGAATGGAAAAATTTACAAAAAACCGCTTATCAATGTTTGGCATTGAAAATATTTGAAGCATTGTTTTACATTAAAAACAAATGAAGGCAAACATTTCCATTCACATTTAGGCTAAGATAATTATTAAAATATAATGAGCTATTGGAAATAAATTTGTTCTGTAAATTGCAGTGTAAAATTTTTATATAGAAATTTATTAAACATATTTTAATATATGTTAAAAGGGATAATTAAAGTGTTAACTGTGGTAATTGAGAATCATCATTTTACAGTTTTACATTTAACATCACTCCTATATTAGTGTAAATAGTAACTCGAAAAACAATAATTATTATTTTTAACTGTATGGTAAATATTAGTATAGGGTATTAAAAAAACGTAGATGTGGATACAGGACGTCTGTAGGGTCATCTAGTATATATATATATATATATATATATATATATATATATATATATAAAAGATTCTTAACCAACATTTATGAAAAACAAATTTTCAAACTAAAAATTCAACATTTTAAAAAAGACGTTGACCAAAGTTTGGTTAAAAAATATAAATAAAATAATTTTATTGTTTTTGCATAGAGGTCATAACTTTGTCAAATCCATTAATTATTTGTCAACCAATTTTCAGTCACAAATTTGATAAAAAAAAAACTCAAAATACAGTAAAATCTGCTAGTATCTCAAATCAGATATTTTTAGACCAATTCTAAAATAAGATGGATATATATATATATATATAAATAATTTTGAATAAAGAATAAAACTCACTTTGGATTTAAGATTTCTCTAAGTAAGATATTTCATGGAGGTCATAACTTTGACAAATCCGTTAATTAATTGTCAATTAACTTCCAGTCACAAACTTGACAAAAAATTTAAAATACAGTAAAATCTGCTAGTGTCACAAATCAGATATTTTTGTACTAATTTTCAAAATAACTAATATATATAAAAACAATATATATTGCATAATAAAAAATCTGACCCTGGATTTAAAATTTCTTTAAGATAAATTCTCTCTTCTAAAATAAATGAAGCATTTAGAGACAAGAAAATTCAAAAACCCCAAAAAGAAAATTCAATGAAAGTGTCCTAGATGGCGATTAGAAATTTGATCTCCTTATGAATTTTATAATACAAAATTTGGGGTTCATGTTTAAGTGAAAAACATTATTAGTTGAAGAAATTAGGGTTTGTTGAGTACTATATAAAAATTTAAACCAATTAGAGATTAGACTCCTAAACTAGTGAACTTACTGAACGAAATCAATTTCGATCTATGTTACCAAATAATATGGAGTGTGCCACAGCAAAGAGCGGCCGGGCTAGCTAGTATATATATATATATATATATATATATATATATATATATCCCAATACTCGAAATAACGATTCGGAACGAGATGCTAGCAATTTGCTAGCATTCTTCCATATAATGTTTTATTTATCGACCATTAAAGATCGCCATAGTGACCATAAAGGAAAGTTAGTGGGGTGTCCTGATGATAATAATTCAAAATCGAATTCCTTTAGAGCTAATATATAGTACATGTATATCAATAGCAAAAAAAAATATAAAACTGAAAAATTATAGTAGAAAACAGTCAAGGTAAAATAGATGAGCTTTATACCAAATTCATTCCAAGATCATTCCTACGTTTTGGCTAACTTATTCTCTTCCCAAACTACTGTCCATCTTAGGAAATTAAAAATCATTTATTTTTAGAAGCGATGTATCTATTATTATCAAATTATCAACAACATGTATCAAATATTTAATTAGAGAATAAGAATTTCAACAGAATTTACTAACTTATTAGTTAAACGAGGTCTAGTCTTAGCGTACATTTTGGAAGTTCAGAGTCCTTACTATTACTATGAAAAGTGAGTTATTATTACTATTATACACATAGGATAATAAAACATGTACATAATTATATATATATTTTATCATGTCCCACCTAATGCAATAAAAAATTCAAAACTAAAACCAAAAAAAACTATTATTACTATGAAATGAATGTAAGTACAACTTCACTAAACCTCTATCAATTTACTAGATCACACATAGTATAATGTAGTAGATTTAATTTACAAAAGTATTTTTTATAGGTACTCACACTTGCCAAATTGTGATTTATGTTTCCCAAAGCCTGAGATCTGTTACTTCTTCCATTCCTGTTGCAAGAAGGTAAAAGGGCCTGGAGGTCGTCACCTCCGGCGTTATTGCCGGAACCTCCGCGCCCTTCCAGGCGGTCATGTCTGAAAAAAAAAGAAAAAATCAGATTTATATTTTTTTTATATTTATATTTATATTTATATTTATATTTATTTATACAACACAATTGTACAATTATAGATATTATATGGTAGATAACTTAAATTAATTAATATGATAATAGAGATAATAATAATCATAATGAACCAATTGAATTTGATCACGTATATTTTCAAGCCAATTGATAGAAGATTTTATATTCATTTATTATATAGCTACGGACCCCAGAACCGTTCTTGATTATATCTTCTTATATATAAAATTGGAGCTCTGGATCAAATGATCCGGCAAAACTCGATAACGGCTAAACCGATTTGGCCAGTCTTATTTTTGAAAAACTCGTGCTAATCAGTAGGTTGTCGAAAAGGTGAGATATTATTTCAAAATCGCGTACAAACTTTACATTTTTAATTTGAAATTTTTTGTAGAAGCGTTATTTGAATAAAACCATGGACAGTGGCTAATACGTCAAATGTCAAACGTTTTTAGCAGATGATGTTCAATTACGTTTAATAAGATGATTTACGTGAATAATATTTAATTATGATTAAATTGTAGTGAGTAGTTTTGTTTGTAGTTTTATTTATATACAAACACGTTATTAAACGGGCCGCAAGTGTTACTAGAAACTAAAAATATCAACTTTTTTGAAATGTTAATATGAAAATGCACTTTTTCGCATATTTTTCTCAAACACGGTGCTCTGAAAGATCTCATTCGTATAATTATATACTCATTGGTATTTATAAAACATTTTCTAGGTTATATTATTTTTTAATTATGTTATATAAATTCAGAACCTAAATTTGGTATCGATCAAAGAAACATTTTGTCGAATAACATTTTCCCAGTTATAATTTACCAGAATTCATCGAAGAATAGATAGTAATATATAAATGTCCGGGGTTAAAAAAGTCCACCACCGATGTGCCAAAAACCAGTAAAGTTTGGCATTGTTTAACAACAATATTTGAAAGTAGAGTGAAAAAGATGTATATCCAGCTATAACCTTGATTCTCATGCCTTTGCTATCGGGAGATAAACGGTAATCTTTGAAAATCCATAATAAAAGTATTTTCTTCCGTTGGTAGTTTTTTAGCATTAGTTAAAAATGTAACTATTTTGTAAAATATCTTTAAAATTAAAATAAGACATTAAACCTATTTGCCATCTGGCCGTTTCAAGTTACCCCGTCTATGGGGTAAAAAGGTCAAATTTTTGAAAGACATAAAAAAGCACATTACTACAATAATGAGTTTTACTGAACGTAGTCAGATAATTGTTCGTTTGGAGTGTGTTATTTGTTGTGATATAATTGGTTTGGTTTTTAAAATATAATTCATATTTGTTCAAAGTCAAATTGGATCTTTGTGCCTCGCCCTGCTCTGCATATATACTTTTTATTAAATTTACTTTAATTCATCGAATGTTACTTGAAACTTTTCAAAAAACTGGTCAAAGAAGAAATACTTAATTCATTTTCTATCTGTCCTCGCAGATATTTGAAAATTTTTTATAAGCTAAGTAGTATTATTTACAATTATACACAAAATCACGGATCAATAAGTCGAAAGACCAAAAAAGACTTGGATTGGATTATACCATGTTTTCTATAGAAACTGTATGTATTTTCAAAATATAGACAAACTAATAAGGTTTATTGTATTTATAATACCTCATTGTATATGGCATTCAAACAACACATCCTTATACACTTAAAGTATTAATATTTTTGATTCTCTAGAAATTGTTTAGAATATACCTTACTTAGCAAAACAACGCTTGTCGGGTCAGCTAGTTGGATATAAAAATAATGTCATCTCTGTTTTTGTAAAAGGATACTTTTTAACTCTAAATTAACTTTAGTTTTGCCTCCTGTACCAGAACCTATTTTCTCATAAAAAATTTAATGAATTGAGAAGTAAAAATTTTGGCTTTTGCATTTTTATGGAAGCGCAATTTAAATAAAACAATGGACGGTGGCTAATACGTCAAATGTTAAACGTTTTTGACAGATGATGTTTAAATACGTTTAAAAGGATGTGAATACGTAAATTTATAAGGAAAAATATACCAAATTTATCATGTATTATTCTGCCTACAAACCTGGTAAATCTGTCTTGTACCCATCCATATATCATTTACAATTTACCTTTCTCTAAATTCGACTTCAAAAAGAAATGCCGAAATCATACATCTTCCGCAAAGACTACTACTTAGCGGGATTGCTTTCATGCAAATATTGCTCTCGAATAAAAAAAAGATGAAATGCGAATGAAATAAAAAAAAACTGGGCGAAAAATATACAGTATGTAAATTTATGGACAGAAAATCCTTGGGAGTAAATTATTCGGGACGTGTGCCATAAGTTAAGAGAGGCATATGTTAATATTCTGACGTTAAAAAGTGGTAGAGATGGAGGAGATTTATGGTGTTGGTGATCTTTCATTGATCTATAAACCAGTTAACTGTGGTTGACGCATATATTCGTCATGGAAAAGTGCCAAAACTTTGTGTGTTGGCGAGTATACACGTCACGCGTATAAAACAATGACCATTTGCTATATAAATTAAATGCTTATTCTGAAATGTCAAGTTGATTAGATTATTTTGAGGCTGTATAAAGTAAGTACTTGCATAAACTTCCACAAATGTAAAAATATTCTTTAGAATTAAGCTTACAATCTTATATATAAAAATGAATCGCAAAATGTGTTGGTAAGCGCATAACTCAACAACGCCTGAACCGATTTAGCCAATTATTTTTTTAAAATGTTCGTTGTAGTCCAAGAATAGTTCTCACGGCAAGAAAAAATCGAATAATTGCCGAAAAAACCCTAAAAACAGCTCTTTTCTTTTTCCATACAAACGTTTTCTAACTAAAACGTAGAATCAATTTGAGCTTTATTGCTATTATATAAAGTTCATATTAAATTACAAGCACTCACTGTATACTCCTTCTAAACGATTATTCGGATTTTGATAAATCTTTTTGAAGTTTGTTAAGGAAATTTTCTAGGATGTATGTGATTATAAAAATATAGTAATATTATAGAAATAAATGAAAGAATTTGCAAAAACGACATTCTAACTAAAACGTTGAATCAATTTGAGCTTTATCGCTGTTATATAAAGTTCATAGTAAATTACAATCAGGGAGAGACTGAACGATTATTAGGATTTTGATAAATCTTTCTGAAGTTTGTTAAGGAAATTTTCTAGAATGTATGTGATTATAAAGTACTGGGATGTACGTGCAATATTGTGAAAATAAATGTATAAGATGTAAAAAAACGACATGTCATTGTTTGCATTGAAAATAAATGAAAACTATCACCTGCCAAAAATTTCAATTTACTTATGAACCTAGACAATATTAGAATATGTATAATAAATTTATGATTATGAATAAAAAAAATGAAATGTCTACATTATTATGCCAAAAAAGCAGCTGAGATGTGCCAGAAATTACAA